ATTATTACTGTCGCACAGTGTGCTTACGCTGTGTTACGTGTAGCAGGTTTGATTCGTTGGCGCGTTGGTGGAAGACAGGGAAAATAGCGAGGAAATTCAGAGAAAAAGACGAAAAATGTCTAAAGTTTGGGACCATTTCAAACAGAAGAAAAGCGTAAATATTGTCCATTGTAAAAAAGAATTAGCTTACCACAATAGCACAACGTCTGTGATTCAACATCTCAACAGAAAGCACCTAGTCTATGCATCCATTCCACAGAGCGGAACCAATACAAGGTAAGCGCGAGCGTTTCACATTTGCGGCTAAACAAAGACCTGCGATAGAAACGTATTTATGGACATATGTGTGAATAAAAAAGTATACCAAGATTCAGCCCAAGCAGTCCCTATTTTTCCTAAACAAAAACACTGATAATACAACAGCAGTAAAAATGATGCTATCGTAGTTTAATTAACATGGAACTGGAGCCTGTCTATAGACTAACAGCAAAGAGACGGTTCCGTTACAGAGATGGTGAACTCAGATGGAGTGAAGGAAAACAGCAGCAGTGCTTGTAGTCGCTACTAAAGCTTTACTGGTAAATAGCTGGCGAGAGTCCTTAATCAAACCAGCTGTTCAACAAGCTGAAAGGTGAAGAAAAGCGATGTTTTCAGCTGCTCCCATCCACCGCCGTTTGTCTTCCAACGTAGCAAGGCTACAGTAAAGCTATACAAGTTAAAATAGAAGCTGTTTGTATGCAGATAACCTGTTAGCTAAGTTTAACACAATATTTAAATTTGGTAACTTGCAGCAGGCTGACAGCAGCCGTCACACCTTGTCGCAGTGATACCTGCAGCATGCGGGGGTGAGTCTAAAGGGGAGCGTGGGGTGTTTGTACTCAACTAGATCTATTTCAAGGCTTTAGTAATATTATTTTGGAGATTTAGATTAATATGAATAATATTACACAATTATAATAATATAAATATTATATAAAAATTACCCACCCCCTCCCCCAACAGCCTTGGGCCAGTAAAACTCTGAGACACTGAATTATCCAACTGCCACATGCTCCTTTAAAGGCTCACACACACACACTCATTCTCTAACACACTTAAACACACACTCACATTCACTTACACACACGTGAAAATGCACACATCATTCCTACCTCATCCAGGAGATACAATCCTGTCAGAACTTTTTTTTTATGCCTCCTATAACTGTACAAGAATACAGAAAGTAAAGACCATTTTAAGTTATGCCTTAGTTTAGGATATATGTATACCCTTTTTCAATAATTTTATTTGACATTTTATTTTTGCATTTAAGAAAGTGTTTTCTTTTAAAAAAAAAAAAAAAAACAAATTTGTACATAAATGCACTAGGAGTTTAGTTCTTTTGTCAGTTGTTGCATGGAGTTCAATCATTAAAAATGTTCCTAAAAAGGACACCCATGAGTTGTTAATTTTAAGAGACCTGTCTATTTTTTCTATTTTGAATAGTTACTATTGCTCTTTAATAAAACAAAAGTATTTCTTACCCGATTAAACGATGGAATAATCAATAGAATACTTGATTACTAAAAACTAGTCACCCCTCCAGGTGCCGGAGGCCACATAACGTTACATTCACGTTCATACATTTCGGCAGAAATTGACGTCAAGTAAAAGTTGCAGGCGACGCCGAACGAATGCGCATGTTTAGGATTTAAGCACTTGTATGATACATCCGTTTGTTTTTGACCATTAGCTATTACTTTAAATTCTATTTTCCTGTTATCCTAGGTGATCAAAATGTTGATAAAGGTACAACGCGGAAGAACAAAGAAGTATGTGAAGCTGCAAGAAGCTTCATTTTCTGATTTTCTCTTTGCCGGTGGGTTTATGTTTTGTATTAAGCGAATCCTAAAGAAATGGTAATAATTTTGTAATTTGTGTGCTTGTTTTTTAAAGATTGTGTGAAGAACTTCAAGAATTTGACGGTATCACTTGCAAATAAACACCAGTTTGCAGTAGCGTATCACTGGGAATGCTTGACTTTAAAAGCAGTTGAGTCTGGTCCAGTCAAAATGTGTTTACTTGAAACACTGAATTTTACAGAAGATTTAACGGCATATCTTCATGTTGATACACAAGTCACTGTCAGCCTCACAAATTGGGTAAAATGTAATGGAGCTGAGTATCGGGTTGGACTGTTTGTTTGCACAGGCATTGATGAAGACATGTTAGTTTTCAGCAAAATAACTTCAGTAATCTTGCACAATGGTAAAGTTGTTTT